GTAATAATAGTGAAGGTTTCTCTAACCACAGCCATGGACTGTGGATTGAAATAGTAAATTATTCCTAGCAGACTGAATGGGCAATAAGACTGCCATCCAGTTCTCCTCATAAAATAAAGCAATAGATAAAAAAAGGAGAGCCAACTCACTTAATCCGCGTGGCTCGGTGCACTGCTAATTATTAACCCAGGCACAAGAGAGGGGTTCACCCAGAGTGTAGTTAAATCATTTTTAATAGAGGTAAACACTAGCCATGTGAATGAGTAGCACTCAATAAAGTTTTTAATCAACGTTTAGGAATCACCCAGCCTAATTGTCATAACTTATTAATAATAATAAGTAAGTAATCTAGTCTTTTTTATGGCCCCTGTCTCTGGAGGACTCAGTGCATTAAAGATCTCTGGGGTGTGAATCTCTCAACAGCTGTGGGAGAGGAGGGCAAGTACCCTTGATGCTCACTCCTAATGGAAGAAACTGGACATCGAGGCTAAGAAAGACAAATATGAGTTCCTTCTCATTTTCTTCTTCCCACATCTGAGTCACCCACTTCTCCTTGGCCTTTCATCTATCTATAGGACAGAATGGCTTCAGGGGGTGGGGGAAGGGCTGGAGAACAGGCTGCCTTTGTTCACGGGAATGATTGGGTTTGAGGGAAGTGAGTGTGAGCAGAGCTTTGTCTGAAGGGGTTTATTTCCTCTGCACAAGTGTCTCTGGTGTCCTTTGGCCTCAACCTGACGGTGGCTGGGTGGCTGCTGGCACCTCCCAGCTCTGTGCTTGTGTGATTCCCCACTCCTGGGAGAGCAGGAAAGATGGCGCTGGGTCTTACTCTCAGAGTGAGTGTTCACAGCAGCCGATGGGAGAACGTTTGTGTAAATTATTTAACTTAAATACTGCCCAAGACCAAAGTGTGGGCATTGAAATATCTCCGGGTCATCAACAAGGAACTTCAAGTTCAGAGTGTGTAAGTGATCGACTACCATACGATTCCTAGTGATTGGTTAGCCTGCAGGTCAAATACCACACTCAGGTTTGAGACTGTTTTTGAGTTTTATGAGTGATGAGTCCCTTTGACTTGGGAGTTGGGGGTGATGAGCACAGACACCAGAGTACATGATGTTAAGAGTATTTTTGTGGCTAATATCTTCTGAGGGCCGGAATTTTGGGGAAGGTAAAATGTAGTCAAACAGCGCAGGATTTACCTTCTTCTTACTTGTTTTTGGTTCTTCTGTCCATGAATCATTAGAGCCCGAGTCTAGATGGCTGTTTCAGTCTCGCAAAGTGAAATTTTGAAGACGGCGCCCAAGCCGTTATTATACAGAGCAAAGAGCTAACTAATGCTAAGAACGGAATGATATATGCCACAGACTACAAAAGACATAAATTTAGAGTGTAAATTACAAGATAACTCATGTGCAAAATTGTTGTAATATTTATACTAGTGTTTATTAAAATTTACATTTGAATGAAAAGGTGCAAAATGTGAATGAAGCTGAAAAACCTTTTTTTTCCTTAAATCTAAAATAGCCTATATGAAAATCAAGAGAGCTTTTTGGAATTAGAAGATATGAATAGCACTCTATGCAGAATTGTCTGCTAAAGCATGAAATATACAGTGAAACTGGAAGGAATAACGTGACTAAACCCCTGCCTGAAGTTCTTCCCTCCCCATCCCCTGATACTTTCCAGTGACTCAAATCCATACTGAATTTCGAAGGAAGCCATCTCTGTCAAAAGCCATGGAGAGGAGGGTGAGGATCCTGGACGGATGTCGAGACTGGATCCGTATTTGAGAGACTAATCTTATTTCACTGATGTTTTCAAGGTTGGAAATTTTTGTCTGGATTCATTAGAGGAGAATGATAAATCTCTAATTTGTACTTTGCTAATAATAGGATGAGCTTTTGTGCTTCATGAAGGTTAAATGGATCTCATGTAGTCCTCGCTGAGTCTTTAGGGCCATGTGTGATCTTGGGAAAAGTCTCCTATTTCTGTGGGACTCAGTTTCCTCATCTGTAAAGTGAGGGGGTTGGACCAGATGAGCACTAAGACACACTAGCCCTCTTTCCTTCCCTCCCATGTGGGAGCATACCACACCAGGCAGTGAGGACCCACAAAGATGATTAAAACATGTAACTCTTGTCCTCGGGAGCTCATGGTCTACATAAATAACTAATTATAATATAAGCGGTAATTGCAACGTGCACACATTACTCTAGGGGCACAGAGGTGAGAAATAGTGACTTCCTGTCTGTGGGGATAGGCTGTGTGAAACTTCGCAGTGGCTGTAATATTTGAAGGGTGAGGAGGAGGGCTCCTTCCGGTGTGCAGGCTGGTCAGAGGGTGGGTGGTTCTGACGGGGCGTTCCAGGCAAGCAAATGCATATGGCAGGTGTATTTAGGAAGCCACATGTGGTCCTTCTCATGGTCTCCGGACACTGCTGGGTCAAACCTGTGCCAATGAAGAATGATTGAAGTTAGGAGGTAATACACTGCATATATATGTTAGGGCAGAGCTGGCTGTCTTGTAACAGACCACTATGCCCATTTACAATCCCAGTTAGCTTTTGTGAATATGAAGGATGGGGTGCTGTTCTTAGCCAGCTCCCTGGGCATCATGAGCCTACAGCCCTGCCATCCCTGAGCCACAGCCTGGCTGCGCCCTGGGGAGCTTGTGTATGGCATATGAAAGACGCCCCTCGAGAGCGTCACATCTGCACCAGCAGAATGAAAACTGCTCCCACGGGGATTCTGTCCTTGTGGGCTGCTCAGTCTACCAGGTGCGTATTTCTTCTTCGAAAGGTGCGTGTGCCTCTCCACTCTCTGTGATCTTGTAAGGAGCTGCTGTTGTAGCTGTTGAATGGCAGCAAATTCGATGTTGACGATAGAGTTCTTATGTAGTTTTTTTTCTTTTTAAAGATTTTATTTATTTATTTGACAGGCAGAGATCACAATTAGGCAGAGAGGCAGGCAGAGAGAGAGGAAGGGAAGCAGGCTCCCTGCTGAGCAGAGAGCCCGATGCAGGGCTCGATCCCACGACCCTGGGATCATGACCTGAGCCGAAGGCAGAGGCTTTAACCCACTGAGTCACCCAAGTGCCCCTCTTATGTAGTTTTTAATATGAAGATAAAGTTTTAAAATTCAGAGTATAGATGAAAAGCATGGCATTGTTAAAAAATTAAAATAATACAGAAGTGCTTACATAAGTTTTAAGGACGTAACCCCGCATTTCATCACTGAGGACAAACATTTCCATGGCTCTCTGTCTTCGTGGAGATAGACGCAGGCATACACCCACGCAGATGGGCTCAGGATACATGTTTCACATTGCTGTCTGATTTCTTTTCCTTCAAATGCAATCAGAGTCTTTAAATAATCATTTTAAATGGCTGCACCATAATCCATCGTGTGGGATAAATTATTTGTGGTTTGATTCCCTGTGGACAAATGGGCAATATCCATCATTTTGCCATTATACACAATGCTGCAATGAACATCCTTGTAGACTTACTCGGTGCCATGAGTTATTTCCTCAGATTAAGTTCCTGAAAGCAGTACTGTTAGGTCAAGGACTGTATAGTTAACATTTCCTTACATCTTGTCAAGCTGTCTTCCAGAAGTTTTGTACCTATCTGCAGCCCCCTTAGCAGGGCAGGCGCTGGCTCACTCTGGGTGGGACTGTGTTCCTACCAGCACTGTCTTCCATCTTTAAGTTACTGAGTGAGAGATGTGAGCGGCCAAGAGTACTTCTGGGGTGACTGGGAGGCAGTAGAAGCAGGACGAGCCTGAATGAAAAGGACTTGATGTATGCACATCTGTTCACCAAAAGATATGTACAAACAGACTCATCACGATGCCTAACTGTCAAACACTGAAAACAATCCAAATGTTCATTAAGATTACAAGGGGAAAATAAATTAGGGCATAATTGCACTGTGGAATACTACATGGGAAAGAGAATGAATGATCCACTATTACATGCTACATGGGGCATGGGTGACTCCCACAATTGCTGTGCAGCAAAAAAAAAAAAAAAAAAGGCAGAAAGGAAAAATACATACCGTATGAGTCCATTTATTATAAAGTCTATAAACAGGAAAAAGTGAATGTAAGGTGTTAGATGCCTTGTTGGTTGTTACCCTTAGGGGATATTAGTGACTGCTTGTTCATTTATGCCTTTTGCTAGACGTATGTTTCCCAGGGCCAGACAGAGTGTTTGGCATATGGCCTCCCCAGTATTTGTTGAAAAAAATTAGTATTTTTTCACCTTTTAACAGACTTTGACCTAGGATTAATGTGAAGACATGGTGTCATTTGTTGCGAGTTATGATGCAGAGAATTCATATGAATGGTTTTTTCTGGGATTTAAATATGGAACCCTGGTATATTTGTAGATGCTTCCTCTGTTTATTCTGTTGTGTGGCGTTGTTGCTTTTGTGTTATGTATAAACCAGTCAGACACTTAGTGGTGGGTGAGGGGTGACGGGTTTTGAAATCAGATCTTTGGGTTCAGTGCTGAGCCCATTGCTTACTCCTCCGTGGCCTTGGATGAGTGACCCAACCTTCTCCAATCTCACTTTCGAAAGTTTGTTGAATAAGGATGAGAATACAACCTACTCTCTAGGGTCGTTGTGAAAAATAATATTAATATTAACGACAACCACCAAATTATGTTTGCTATGTGCTGGACACTGACCTAAGCTCTTAAAACAGAAGACATTATTTGTTTGGTCTTTCCAGTACTCCTGTCTATTTGTGGTTTGGGAAGTGTAAGCCACAGCATTAGTAAGTGTTGAGCCAGAACTTAAACCCAGGAGTTCCATCCCAGAGCCCGAGCTCTTGACCACTACCTCTGAGTTAAAGGAAGTACTGTGCCCAGAGCGCTCAACGAAGTCAGCATCTGTTAGCTGTGATGATCGTCGTCGTCATTTTCAGCATCATTATTAATATGTTTTTCTCCTCTCTCTCCCCCTGCTCTCCTCTCTTTCTCCGCCCTCCTGGCAGATATGTTCCAGCAAGGTAAGTTCACGGTCTCCTGCCTGCTTCTCCACTGGCTGTGCTCTTTTGGGAACAAGGGTGTTGTCTGTGCGCAGAGGGTTATGGAGCTTTTCATTCACTGTGGACTCGTCACCGGTGCTTTAGGAGACACCATGGGGACAAATAGCCTAAGGTGGCCTGAAGTGCCATCGGCCTCTCTGGGCCTCTGCTTGTCCCACCTCTGCCTCTGGACCATGCCTGGAGGTGGGGCCTGGACATTCTGGGCAGGTACACTGGGGACAGTCATGGCTGGACCCACGTCAAGGAACAGCATGCTTGGGACTCGTGGGACGTGTGAGGAGCAGGTGTCTCCGGGGCGAGGGTTCAGCTAGAAGGCCCCTGTCCCTCAGGGCTCCTGTACAGGGCCAGCTGCCACTGGGGCAGGGCTCCCAATGCCGGCTCCTCGTGGGGGTTTCTTTTCTCTGCCAAACAAACATGTCGCTATCCTGAGAGGAGGTGCAGACAAGACCCTGGTAGGATACCTTCAACCCAGGTGCCCCTGGCGACCCCTCCAGCTGGGCCTGTGACAGAGATGGAGCCAGCGAGGGCATGCAGTGTCTACCCTATTTCTCCAGCCAAGGTCATGCGTTCTGGGGAGCCAGAGATGGAAAGTTGAGCTGCGTCCCATGCATGTTTTTATCCTCACTGAGGATGCCCAGCCAGCACCTGTTCTCTGGGATGCTGAGGGAGACTCATGTGCGTGGCCTCGTTGAACCTGCCAGACACACGTGAAGGGGGTGCGGCCTCTTTCCCTTTTTTTTTTTCTTTTCTTTAATCAGTCTGGAACCGTTGGGTAGCATCAGCAGGGCGTAACTATATTCAGGCCGGGAAATACGTTTGTGGCACACGTTTGCTATGTCTCTCTTGAATCCAAGGCTGGCACAGAAGAAAAGACACCATTTTAAAAATACATCTTGGCATCCCATAAATAGCTCCCGAATAATCTCCCAGGCTTGATATTTTCACAACGATTATTTCAGCCCAAACACGCGGCGTGTGTTGTGGAGAATGTCTGCCTGCTCTCTCTGAGAGAAGCGCATTTGTGGGTAACAATGAGGGGACTGTTGTGTTTGTCTTTTAAGAGTCTGGAGTCATAGACCTACTTTTATAAATAATTCATAAATCCCAACAAGCTATAAGTAATAAGTTCCATTTGGCTAGAGACTAAGAGATGAGCAAAATTGAAAAGGTGCCGTGACTGTTGATGTACTGAAGTCCTTGCTGTCAGGGCCCCCTTGCTCCGTGTGTGTCCTTCCTTGACAAACTGGGGGCCCGTGGCAACGCTCTGGGAGGAGAAGGGTTTTTTTTTGCATGAACTAGACTACAGGCGCCATGCAACGCTGCATTGTGTTCCTCCTTTGAGACACAAAACGCTTGGGTTTAGGAAGTCTCTTTGGTGCACGAGTGCCAAGGTCCCAGGAGAACAGGGAGAGAAAAGACTTCTAAGGGGTCTGGTTTTTCTTCGAACGATCGCGAGCATTCACGGCTGTCATGGTTGGTATAAAAAATGGCTTATTAGGGCTCCCGATGTCAAGTTTGCCTCCTTTTATTATCCGTCATGCCACTGAATTGATGGGGTTTGCCTGTCAGTAACAGTGATATGCAGAGCAAAAGTTATAATCATCTGCAAATCACTGGCTATCGGGACTTGAGAGCTTCTTCCCGACATGGAAGCTGCTAGTTGCCTGTCGCCCCATGGGAGGCTGTATGGTATTACTAGGATTTCAAGTGAAGAGAGCTCAACTGGCTTTTGTGAATTATTTACATGGTGCTGGCCTTCTAGGACCATTTCATATGGTGGCACGTTTTCTGAGATGGTAGCCAAGAACCTGCCACCTGGTGCCCCCTCCTTACTTTTGCTTCTGGCCATCCTGTGGAGGAAACAAGTGCCCACTAAAATGCGACAGTTCCGATGTGTTGGTGATGATCAAGTCAGACCAAGACAAAAGGTCGTGGCTTACAGAGTCCAAAACGCGACTGGGCCATGTCTTCTGTGGTTGAAACTCTGTTCCAGAATTGTGTCATTGATTTGAAACGCAGGGTGGGACCCCGGAGGGTGCTAGAAATAAGCAACCTGAAAACTGTGGCTTCAGATGAGCAGCAGGAGGGGGCCGTCCACCCACACACACAGTGGGAACTCTGACCGGCTGGGGCTTCCTGACCCCGCCGAGGGCATCCAGGCTCTGCCAGCTTTGGCTTTGCGGGGGGAGTCCGGGGTGCTCGCAGGAGACACCGCGTTGTCGGTCCGCGCCTCTGGTGGTGCATGAGTGACACGTGCCCCCCTGCGCGTTTGGGCCGCTGGGCCCCGTGGCGGGCCGAAGAGGGAGGCAGCCTCGCAAGCTGCCAACATCAGACATTCTCAGAGGAAACCAAAGTTATTTCCCCTGGATTGCATTATCTTTTATTTCACTGCAGATCAATCTTGTTAGAGGAGGTGACAGCGCAGCAGCGACTGCTGGGCCTTTCTTGGCTGCATCCATGGTGTGTGCACGTGGCAGTGTGTTTCCGGCCAGCTCCTGGGCCGTTTTAGAGTTTGCTTCATTTCTTTCATCTGCAGAGGCCGCTTGCTGGGGCGGTTAGACCTGCAGGGCATGAGGACCGTCAAGGACCAGTGGGCCCGCGGCTGCGCCCACTGTGTAGCCGAGTTCCAGGGCAGTGGGGCCGCGTTTTCAAGGAGCCTTAAGTGACCCCCGTTCTCTGTTGTCCGCAGAGCTCCTGCGCCCGTGGATGGCTCTCAGCGCTGCCCAAGTGCCGTAGAACGGCCCTTCACAACATCAGACGCAGCTGAAAACGCTGTGTGGGCACACGTGTCTGGAATCTCGAGTTTTAGAGCACTTTTATATCCATCGCTTAATAATGAAGTCAGGACCACACACACACACACACACACACACACACACACACATGCACGCACGCCTCATTTGAAGTTACTGAAGCACCTTTTGAATACTCATCCATAGGCTCAGCCTTGATTCTGAAATCGAACAGAGCCCGGGTGAGTGGCTTGGAAATCAGAGCGGTGCCACTCGGCAGGGTGTTGGAAAGCGTAAGTGGGCGCAGTATAAAGACTTCACCACTGAGTTAATTTTGCACTCTGAGCTGTGAACTGAAGTCCCGGCTGCACTGGGAGCCGGAGGAGGCCTCGCCTTTCCTCCCGCTCCGTTCTCGCCTGGAGCTGGGGTCTTGCTATTAAAGAGATTTTCTTTCTGCTCAAGTAATTGTTGACAGCTCTCAAACATAGTGTACTTGTTTATTTTATGGCTGGTAATAATGGGCCAGGCACTTTCTAGGCCCTGGGGAAACGGGGATAGATGAGACAGCAAGGGCTTTGTGCTCAGGGAACTCACAGTCTAGCTTGGGGGGTACCGATGCCAAGCATGCTAGTAAACAATCAAGGCACAGTCTGAGGGATGCGGGCAGTGAGGAAGATGTCATAGGATGGGGTGCTTGTGGCGAGAAGGGCCACTTTAGATGGGATGGTGAGAGGATGCCAAGAAGGACCAGCGGTTGGGGGATATGGAGGAACCCCAACAGGCAGGAACACCCCAATATTCAAGGACCAGAAGGAAGCTGGTGAGGTGGGAGATTGCAAGTGAGGGAGAGTATTGTGTGAGATGAAGTAATGAGAAGAGGGTAGGAATGTCTTCCCGAGACTGGAGGAAGGAAGTCAGAAGGTGTGGTCCATTTGCGTGAAAGATCCCACACTGGTTTCTGTGAAAATGCGTAAGAACAATGTGTGAGAAATTAAAGCCAGGATCAGGGGCTCAGGCTTGGCTGAGATGGGCACCTGCCCCCAGGCCCTAAGCACTCCCCTTAGTGGGCCCCTGCAGCCTGTTCCTGGCCAGCTGGCCTCCACTGAGTGTCCCACTTTCTGCCCACTTTACCCGTGGGGAGTGTTGTGCCCATAACTTACACCTCCTCTCCTTAAGGCTGGCAAATTGTGCCCATCAAGAACATTATTAAAATACTCCTCTACTAATCTTTAGATTTTAAAGAGCCACTTCTCTCCAATATACAATAAAGCGTATCATATGTATTACATAGTAATATATACGTTAAATGTGCAGGAGACCTTAGTTTGGCTCCCAACAGGCTGGTTGCTTTGCCCTGTAGCCTCAGTTTTCCCATCTGTAAAATGAGAGAGTTGGGGAGATTCCTGACCTGACTTGGCTTCCTGCTGATTCTCTGTCTTGGTGAGTTTTAGTTGGATTTCAGTTAATAGAGTCCAGAAATATGCCATACTACCAGTTATGACCATTGTCTAAAGAACTTGGGCGAAAGCAGAGCCTTGTGGCTGGGAATTAAGGTTAAAAGAATTGCGGTTTCAAAAGCGTAACCTATTCACAAGCCCATTTTGAAGCATCAGCTTCAGAATTCACAATGGATGGCATTGCTTTTACTAATTTGAAGAGAACAATAAATCATAGTTTGGTTTCTGGCAGCCCAGCCAAGCCCGGTAAATCGTTGGGGTGGGCTTATGGTGACAGGGACCAATGCCATTTATAATGTGTTTGCCTTGAGCTCTTTTGCATATCTCAGACTGGTGGGTCAAGCTGCTGAGGCTGGATCTTAGGTTTTCCCAACCACTTCAGAAAATCCATCTGTTATAAAGCTCTGACCCTTTAGCCATGAATTATGGTTCCCTTGGTAATGTTATACATTATGAAATATTGTTTTCTTTATGAGTGTGGGATTTGGGCAAATAAATGAAATCTATTGTTACCACTTCCAGTTAAAAATTCCAAGATGTCACATGATGCTAACGAGAGAATGAGAAAAATGCATTAACATTTTTATGGTGGAAAGTGGCTGGTTCCCTGGTCACACTTCCCATATGCCAATATTTACTATGTATGTATACTATTCCCCATTCTGTCCAGAATCAGTAGAGTATTCTGAGTTATGTAGGAAACGCATCCATCTTTCCAGCACAAACTGAACAAAGTTATTATTTGATTTTACATACGTTCATGTTGTGTGTG